AAACCTATCCATTCTTAAGGAAATCAGCCCTGAGTGCTCACTGGAAGGACAGATCCTGAAGCTGAGACTCCAATACTTTGGCCACCTCATGAGAAGAGAAGACTCCCTGGAAAAGACCCTGATGTTGGAAAAGATGGAGGGCACAAGGAGAAGGGGACGACAGAGGATGAGATGGTTGGATAGTGTTCCTGAAGCTACCAGCATGAGTTTGACCTAACTGCGGGAGGGAGTGGAAGACAGGAGTGCCTGGCGTGCTCTGGTCCATGGGGTCACGAAGAGTTGGACACGACTAAACAACAACAACCTGAGTAGAATTAGCATTGGCTACAATGTCCAGACTGCAGCTGCTTGAGGTCCAGGAAAGGTTACTGAGCAAACCTCAATCAATAACCTTGGTAGTAGTTATACAGCATTGCTGCCCATTCCTTTGGGTTCTCTGGTACCTCTGCAGTTGCTAAGGTCAACCATGAGCATGACCTAGGTCTGAATGTCACAGGGATGGAGAGAGGCCTTTTTGGTAGCTGTTCCACTTTTATGGTGGGAGAGCGGTTGCTGTCCTGTGCTCCTGCTGATTCTCACCTCAACATCCTCATCTTGGGTTCCCAGTGGCATCCCTCTGCATAGCACTTATCCATCATTTCCCAAAGTCTGCCGATATCAACTGCCAGCTGTGCTGGAAAATACACCAGCTCAGCATACTTGCGTGCAGATTTTGAGAAACTGGCACATCTGCCGTGATGGTGATGGAAGGAAGGGAACATCACCCCCAGCCCAACCCCATGCAATTAAATTTGCTGCTCACTTTGCCCAGCGCTAGCCTAGCAACGTGAGCTCCCAGTGGCCCCTGCCTCACTGCACATGCCGTGCTGACATTGCAAAGTGGTAAATCCAGAGATGACATAGAGCTGGGAATTGCCACTGACAGGTGTTTCCTTGATACCAGATGGTACGCAGGGCAGGGCAGCTTCACTCCTCCTCAGCATTATATCACGGGAGAAAGCCGAGGAATGCAGCTCGGATCCTTTCACTGCAGCTAAATCTCATTACTTGAGTCTAACAGAAGAATGAAGAGAAGAAAGGACTGCCTTTGATCAGTGAAGAATGATGGCAGATAATAGTGGTATGATCAGCGGCTGAGCTCTCCCGCTGGTCTGAGGTAATTAATCAGGGGAGCGCTATTTAATGGTGGGCCCTCTGTAAATCCATCCCACAGTGCCTTCCTTATGAGTCTTCCCTGAATATCCCTGCCAGTGAAAGAAGAGATAATCAGAGCGTCAAGGCAACCGAGGGAAGCCAGGTGTGAGGGCTACTCAGGGCATGTATCAACAAGTAGTTTCCTAGGCTTTCTCTTGTGGTGGTGCAGCATTAAAACAGCGCCATGAGAAAGTCCACACCCCACCCCAAGCTGAGAAACATATGCTAACAGCCCTTCTCTGGGCATCCACATATTTAGTTAGTTAGTTTATTCCAGTACTTTTTTTTCTAAAAAAATGTTTAGGGGTACTCTCATTTTGACTCAAGAAAACCACCATTTTATAGTTCAAATTGGGTAAAATAAATACAGTAAATGGACAAAGTACAAAGAACATGCATTACCTCATATGACACAGCTGACAGCTCACAGTAACTTCCACATTGGCATGAAGTTGTGTGTACTAACATCTTCCCGATTCCTTTGCTTGCTGTTGGTGTCCATCAGAGGTGGTAACAACTAAACTGACCAATCACCATGCTAGATTCCAACTCCTACTTCACACATTAAACGTTCGCTTCCATCTGAGACTCAGGAAACACTGTGACAAGGAAATGAGGCTGCCATCGGAGGTAGCAACAGAACTGACGATTCACTGTGCTAGAGAAGAAACTAAAATTTTTAATTTTTAAAGTTTCTTCTCCCTTTAGATTCACAAAATGTTTAGGGGTATGTGTACCCCGCATACCCCCAGAAAAAAAGCACTGGTTTATTCTTATTGGTTTTCAAATTATTATAGAACCACAAAGACAAACGAGCAACAGCAAAAGATTTCTTAATATATCCAACTAAGGGCAGGGCATACAAAACCTAAACGTATTGAATGATAACACCCATTCTAAGATCATGACATCCACAGTTCCCTAGATGGAATGTGGAGAGATGCCCATAAATCTGAAACTAAGCTGTATGAAATAAAACTCTATCATACTGAGCAGAAATTATTAATTAACAGTTCCAGCGCCACCTCTCATCTTGAGGTTCGAGAGAGAACTGGGAGGAGGAGGAGGAGGAGGAGGAGGAGGAGGAGGAGGAGGAAGTTGTAAGCAAGATGCAACCTGAGAAGCATCAACCTAACCATCAGAGAGATAGAGAGGTCAGCTCAAGAGGGATAGTCTTGGGAATCTGGAGGTCCTTAACTCTATCTGTCTTAATTCATGCAAGAACCCTCTTCCATAAGCTGACTTCCAATACATTCACATTATAGAAGGTTCTTGGCTGTAGCAAAGAGAATTGCTGGATATGTTACATGTGTGTGTGCATCCTCCATTCTAGCTTCACTTCCAACTAAGTGCAAAAAAACAGTGTCTTAGCTGAGTTAAAGAGCTCTAGTATAGAAGCAGCCTGTGTTGACTACAGAAATGGTGTATACCTAGGATAGGATGATACTGTCAGTTCTGACATCCATGTAGCCCTCCGCAGCACCAGTTCTCATGAGCGTGCTTCCTAGCCCCCAGCTGAGCTTTTACAGTGGGATTTATCATGGCAATTTGCCTTGTCCATATTCTGACATGTCCAATCAGCAGCTGGACATACGGTAACTTTGAAATGGGCCTTAGGCCAGGAAATGGGAAGCTGCAATTTCAACCTGTGTCAGAGAGAACTGATGGAATGAATCTCCATGCCAAAATCCTCCCCCCACTCACAACCCGAAAAAAAGTTTTGTGGCAATATGCTCTGTAACTATCTCCTCCGCTTGTCGATCGGCTCACATTTACCTTTAATATCTGCAAAAAGTGCATGATTTCATTAGCATGGAAGGAAGGAAGCATGAGGTAAGACCATCTGTTCAAAGATGGACCTGTTTCTGAATTCAGCTATTACAGTAAAAGAAGCAGGGCATTCAGCTGCTGTATCAGTCAGCCTGCAGAGTGCTACTGCTTCCCACAGGAATCCTTTAGTAAAACTGGGGTTATGGGACAAGAACTGGATCATAATTCAAGGTGAGTGAAGGTTGAACAGAAACGGAGCTGTTCAGGGTCGAGGACTTACAGAAACCATTGCTATTTTTTTTTAATTTTCAGTTATATACATTTCAATAGTTTTACAGTCATTTTAACATTTCAAAACTCAACTTCCTTCCTCTTTCTGTGGTTCCTTAAAATTATTTTTAGAATTTCCTGCATATTCTAAATTAACTTAACTTACTCTTCTATTCATCTACTTTAATTATATACTCTCGTGAAACTGCAGGTTGTTACAATAATCCTGCCAAGGTCCTTATCTGTTTGCAATAGAGAAGCAGGAAGATCAAAGGATTCTGCTTCTCCAAATAAACTGTATGGAGGAACTGACTCCATACCCAGTATTAGGGCTTGACTTGGGAATTCCACATGATATTTTAAAAGGCTTGGGAGCCTTTGGATTGATGCACTTTGGGGAACTGTGCCTTTCCTTCAAGCACCACAGTTGTGTATGACATAGTGGTGGGGCGGTAATTTTAACTGTTGACTGACTTTAATCCCACCAGATCCCTGTACAAACTCAGTCCATGCCATCAGGGGCTGGCATCATCGGGCATTTACTGAAAAGGCCCATCCTTCTGTGGGGCATCCATTGCTGACCCCTGCAGCCTTCTGGCACTGCTGCCCCCCTTCCTGGCACTACCTGCTCACCTCTGAGCAGGCAAGCAGTAAAAGAGTAGGATGAGGCATCATCCCTCACTTGCCCCATATGGAAGAAGGCTTCTAACAGATGTTGGATATGTAGCAACCTCCTTCTGATTGTTAGCAAAAAATCAATCCATGAGTGCAGATTCAAACTCTCTCTCTCTCTCTCTCTCTCTCTCACACACACACACACACACACACACACACACACTGCTGCTCATCACGAGAGGCTTTGTATAGAATCACAAACAAGAGAGAATATTGATTCCAACTGAGCTAAGAACTCCCTCTACCCAGGGGAGAAAAGGAGGTGGCCTTTCGAGGTCAGGACTGGTGGTAGGGCAAGCACTGGTGATCCCAGCAAGGATGCACAACTCTCCTTTCATGGTGACTGAAGTATTTCTGCAACCAAGGATGATGTCGGTGGGTGGGGGTGGTGTATATTGATTGCAACAGAGCTAAGACACTGACCTGGAGGAGAAACATTGCTGGGGGCAGACATGGTTTTGCATCTAGTTTGTACATTTAGATTTGTGGGGGGGGGACCAAATCAGCAGAGGACTTTTGCATCCCTGAGCAGTGGAGACTTGGCCACTGCAGTCAACAAATGCACTTGTGACTCAATAGACGTCACTAGGTAGAGCTGAGATATGGCTCTTCCAGCACATCCCCTCCAACCTTTTTCAAACAAAAATGGGGGTGCATGTTTTTTCTTGTAACATCCCTATTCTCCCTCCAAGGGCCACACTGCTGAAGGCTCTTCCCCGCCCCGTCACCTGCTATGTGTTAAACTGTGACTGGAGAGGCCAGGACAATTAGCATGTGGGCTTTCATAAATTAGGTTAGAAAGGGTTCTTCATACTCGTAAAGGTTGAGAACCACTGCTGTAGCACCCCAGATGTGGGCATGGACAAAAATGTTTTAACAGGTACCTCCAACTTCTTTCCGAAAGACAAAAAACAGACACCAAACTGTCCCTGTTTTCTGGCAGATGCCAGAAAACAGGGACAGTTAGTGCACATCTTAGCAGTATGTAGAGAAGGGCAGAAAAGGAATAGAATCAAACAATCATAGAGCTGTAGAATTGGAAGGGACCACATGGGTCATCTAGTCCAACCCCCTGCAATGCAGGAATCTTTTGCCCAACGTGGGGCTTGAACCCACAACCTTGATATTAAGAGTCTCGTGTTCTCCTGACTGAACTATCCCAGCTCAATATGGGTGATGGGGTGGATTTTCTTTTTCAAGGATACATTGGGACTCAAGTAGCCCTAGGCACCCTATGCTTTGCTGTGAAAGCTGCTCTTATACCTCTGCTTCATAATCTCTGAGTGAGTGCTGCATTGCAGGGGTCTGGACTAGGCAACCTTGGCGGTCCCTCCCAACTCTACTGTTCTCTGATTCTAAATTGGGGGTGGCTAGCGTAAACCATTCTGAGTGAGATGGACCGAGGGGTCTGACTCAGCATAAGGAAGCTTCCTTTGTGCCTATGGTATTATCACTCAAGTTCTCTGTCCACAGCAGTGACCAGAGGAGAAATGACCGCTGGGTGGGGTGCAGAGAGAAGAAACGCCATGGGGCATCTGCAGCAGCACAACCGAATGCCTTCATCTGCCCCAGCTGCAACGAAGCATGTCTCGTCTGCATCCATCTCTACAGCCACAGCAGGTGCTGCAACCTTCCAACAGTTTGACCTCACCCCGCAAGGTGCGCGCCTCCATTATCTCCCTAGACAGATGGATGCCAACAATCTGCATATGCTGTGGGACACTCCTCTTCGTTATCATTACTCCTGAGGGCTCAGTAGTAGGAAACGGTTTGGGGCACAAATTAAACCACGTCCGGTTCACAGAAGAAAAGAGAAGAGGGTGGGGGGGTAAGAGTACAGAGAAGGATAGGTATCCCTCTCTCTCCCCCTGGGGCCTGCCCCCCCAAACATCGCAGGTTCTGCCCCACACCAAAGGTGTCTCCGGCGGAACACCAGAAGCAGCGTCTTATCTGTGCGGGGTTCTAATTAAAGAGCTCACATAACACCGAATTTCTGGGTTGTTTTCCATCAAGCAATGGCTTTGTGGGATCCCTCCCCCCTCCCCTTCCCCCAGTTGTTGTAGCTGTAAAACAAAGCAGTGACAGGCAGGGCTGTCAGAGCCCCGTAGCAGACAGATACTCCCTGAGATGCCAGTCACGCCTGACCTCGGTTGTCACTGGAAGGCAATTATCTTGCTGCTGAGAAATAGCGGCCCGCAAGTGTAACAATCCAATGAGGGCCTCCCCCTCTCCTCCCTGCCCCCCCTCCATAGCTGCCTCCCTCTCCCCCCCCCCCCCCGCCATCTTACAGGACTGTCACTGCCATGCCTGCAAAAGAAGCAGTAACTTTCCACTGGCCCAAATGTGGAGACTAGTTGTCCCTTTGGGATGCCATTGTGTGTGCTGGCATCGGAGTGCAGATTATGGATGAAGCTCTCGGCTAGACTCCTGCCTCATCTCGCTCTGATTCATTGCAGGAATAATGGGGGAGAGAGCTGCAGAATGCTGATGAATAAGTGGCACCCTTGCCTGCCTCATCCGCGGCTCACACCAGTATTTCAAAGCATCCTTTTGCGATTCTCTCCAATTAGAGGACGGGCTGGTGGCCGGCGATACCTGGCTCGCTGCATTTTAACAATCTGCGCCCTAGATGAGGACAAATTTTGGGGTGGTGCCTGGAGAGGGCCATTAAAGCTGAAAGGGGCAGTTGATATAGATTACGGGGATGGAACCCAATTTTATTTCAGATTTTCCAGATAGGTCAGCCAGACTCATTTTCAGAAACAGGAGTTAGCGCTGAATACTCATCGGCTCCCTGATGCATGAGCATGTTTTAAAAGGATCTCAGTCCACTGGGCAAAGGCAGAGGGAAGGGAATACTTTCGTGCTGTACCCTTAGCTTCAGAGAAGCTCAGCTATCATATCCTCGCCTCCATCCCCAAAGGTGAAAGGGAACAGGAACAGACAGGAATGAAGCACCAGAGAAACATTTTGCAGTTCATGGGGAGGAGGGGAGTTCTTAGTTCCCCCAAGTGCAAGCAAACTATATTGCATTGCCTGCCAACCACCTTCAAAATAGCTGACGGCACTGCATGTCTCCCACCCCAAACCTAAACTGTTTCCTCTCTGAGGCTGGAGCTTCACATTTATTAGACTTTTGCTCCCTTTCAAACACAATGGAGCCACTGTGGCTGCAACATAAGAATGTAGGATGAGGCTCCTGGATCAAGCCAAATCGCTCATCAGGTTCAGCATACAACCAGATGCCTACGGGAAGCCTACAAGCAGGACTCTGCCTACCTGCAATTTCCAGCAGAATCCTGACCATGGAGGTGGAACATTGCCATCATGGCTAGTAGCCTTTGATAGCCTTATTCCCTACGATTTTGTCTAATCCCCTTTTAAAGTTGCCCAAGTTGGTGACCATCACTGTCTCCCGTGAGACAGAGTTCGAAAGTTTAACTATGTGCCATTCAGGACAGATAAAAGAAAGAGGCCCGTTCTTTTATCTGTCCCAAATCTCCCAACATTCTTCACTGCATACCCACAAGTTATGAGAGAGGGAGAAAAACTTTTCTCCATCCACTTTCCCCATGCCGTGCATAATTTTATAAACTTCTATCAAGTCACCTCTTGCTCACCTTTCGTCTCTAAACCAAAAAGCCTCAAATGTTGCAACCTTTCTTCGTGCAACCTCGCTCCACCCCTTTGATCAGTCTGGCAGCCCTTTTCTGAACTTTTCCCAACTCTGCAATATCCTTTTTGAGATGAGGCGACCAGAACTGTACAAAGAACTTGCTCCCACAAGTGGCAATGATGACCACCAACTTGAAAGACAAGGCTCTCAATGGCCACTAGCCACAATGACTCTGCTTTGCCTACATAGGCAGAGGCAGTAATGCTTCTGAGATACCAGTTGCTGGAAACCACACAAGAGGAGGATGCTGTTGTGCTTGGGTCTTGCCTGTGGATTGGCCACTGTAAGAAGACGATCCTGGATTTGTTGTTGTTTAGTCATATAGTTGTGTCCAACTGTTCGTGACCCCATGGACCAGAGCACACCAGGCACTCCTGTCTTCCACTGCCTCCCGCAGTTTGGTCAAACTCATGCTGGTAGCTTCGAGAACACTATCCAACCATCTCGTCTTCTGTCGTCCCCTTCTCCTTGTGCCCTGCATCTTTCCCAACATCAGGGTCTTTTCCAGGGAGTCTTCTCTTCTCATGAGGTGGCCAAAGTATTGGAGCCTCAGCTTCACGATCTGTCCTTACAGTGAGCACTCAGGGCTGATTTCCTTAAGAATGGATAGGTTTGATCTTCTTGCAGTCCATGGGACTCTCAAGAGTCTCCCCCAGCACCATAATTCAAAAATTATTCCTGGCGATCTGTCAGTTTTTGGTTTGTCTGTTAGACCCAGAACTTCATCTTTTGTCAGCACTATCTGCCTCAGTTCCTCAAACTTCCTTCCTGAAAACGTTAGGGCAGGCACTAGGCTCTGTATCAGTCTTCCTCAAATTGCACCCTCAGCAGCCATGTTGTTTGTTTGTTTGTTTGTTTGTGTTCACACACACACACGGGGAAAAGGAAGTGGCACAGATTGAAAGTTCTAACCTGACGCACATGTACACGAACCCAGAGAATAGAGCACCAGTTTCAGCCACAACTTGGTTGGAAACCAGCCACCCTGAGAAACATCTTCCATCCATTAGTAACCATGGAGGAAGTATCAGTGGCTCAGCACTGAACATTTGCAAGCAATCAAGTATACAAACAATGGTCACTTGACAGCTGTTAAAATATTTAAGATGCCAGACTTGACGTTGCAATCAGTGGAATATAGATCCAGGACGACTTTGCTGACTTCAACTATTCCAGAAACACTTTCAGGTTGAGAGGAGAATCAGATCTATAAACCCCAATTTATGCATTATGTTCCCATGTGAGAGAACACTTGTTACCTGTGAATATTAATTGCTTAGGTGCCCGTACCTTTTAAAAATAATTTTCATTTATTGTGCTTTAATCAAGCGCAAGTCTCTCCTACCTCAGCCCCTTGTTTGCTATAGCAAACCCACAGTCCCTTGTGATAAGAAGTTACCCTTCAGTTATATTCCTAGTGGATTCGGATTTCAGAGCCAGAAAACAGTCTCATCTTGTGACCTGATTAAGCTGCTAGCCTTATGTTTACCAGCAGGTGGGTAACTAGATGTTGGGCAGGCACCCACTCACCAAATAGGACAAAATGTGGAGCAAGGAAAAGAAAGAGAAAAGAAAAGATTTTGTATGTGTGTGTGCATAGCTCATCTATCTGGCAGCTCTTAGCTGAGCTATGTCCAGTGCTGCAATCCATTCTTGCATGCTGACCCACGTATAGGTGCACAAGGCATTGCAAGGACCCATGTGCTGATATTTGCCTTCTTTCCTTGAAAACAAGTAGGGGCCAGTTAACTATTGCACATGCATATGCTCCACTTGATGGCTCCTAGCTGAACATGTGAACGGCTTTCAATGAAATTATTTTGAGCTAATGGGAAACAACTGCCTGTGATGGGTCACCTCTTTCCCACAGACAAGCCTTCACTTGATGTTGACAGATGACCCACAAACAACATACCTATGTAGAAATTAAATTCCCTGAAGATCCCATGTCCACCATAGATGCATTCCTTTTAGTCTTGAGCACCTATCTCCCTCTTCCTCCTTCCCCAGTACCTTCCCAATGTCATCATGTGGCTGGTGACATTTGCTGGGTGATTCCTGGCAGATAAAGGGAGGCATCTGATGTGACATTTTGAGCAGTGCCATGATCGGCTCCCGGATGGAAGATTGTATCTCTGCTGTGAAGTGAGCCGAGCAGATTCCAACAGTCTAGACTGGCAGGGCTTATCCTCCAGTGGTTTCGTGTCAAAGCCACAAAGTTAAGCTGGGATTGCTGAGAACATGCCAGTGAGATACAGGTTTTTCTTCTGCTCCGCAGAGTCCTAAGTGCTTGCTACGATTCCATACAGCTGGACACAGAGATCCAGTTGAGTCCCAGATGAATGCACACGGAGCCAACATGATGTATTAGCACAGACCACCAGCTGGTTATTTTTTAGGGGCATCTAAATTGAGAGTCCTGCTGCCGCTGACATCTGGTCTTCCCCTGAGTACGTACAAAAAGAGCGGGGAGAGCAGTGGACAAGAG